CATATGGAGAGGAATACAACCTTCTATTGAGGTTGATTTTGAAGGAGACAAGGAAAAGACTTAGTGAAGAAAGAGGGACATTGGATTCCAAGTGAACGAAATCTCAGAAATTTTTCAGGAAAAGTCAGAACCCAGAATTTATTTATTCATTCAACTTGGGATACAGCAAAGAACAAGCCAGAAAAAGAAAAAGTCCCTTCACTCAGAGAACTTACATTCTAATAGTTATAATATTAAGCACTATGATCTTTCGAACAAACATCTGTTTATTGGAATGGTGAGATGGGAAAGGCTTACATTTCCAAAGGGCTGAGAGGTCCAGGTAGACCAGTGTGGCTTGCATCTGGCAGTAGGAAGATACCTTAAATTCTTGACCAGGAAGAACTCCAGCAGTGCCAATTATGGAAGTTTCTGCAGCCACATGAAGTATGGATTCTGATAAGGAAGTGAATTAGAAAGGGTGGGGGATACCAGAAAGGGCTGTTGTAGAAGAGGTGGGGGTGACTGGAACAGGGGTCGATAGCACCATAGAAGAGGATAGGTCTAAGGCAGCTGGAATGAAGCAACTGAGAAAGTACCTTAAAGCCCAAAGGTGAGAATAATTTAAATATGTCACCAAGTAGAACTCCTTGATGGAGAGGAAGGGAGATGGCAGAGATGGTGTGGAGACTTTTACTCTGGGAACTGGGGGAATAGCAAGGTGAGTTTAGGGCCAGTTCCCTGAGCTTCAGTGATGGTTCCATCACTAGGCTGTGTAAACAAAGGAAAGGCCATAGCACCACATTGCTTATTCATCAGTGCTTGTCTATGTTTGCTGTTTTGTTTTCTACATGACAAGTCAAGGTTAGTCTGGATGTGACCCATCAGAAACTGGAAACAATTTGCATCTAGTGAGTCATACTAGATCTGCAGAGTGAAACTGTAGTTTTTGCATGAAATCTACCACATCTGGCCGACACTTCAAATCCTCTTATTAATGGAGTAAAATTTTAAGATATTATATCTTTAGTATCATGAATTTAAGGTGCTGAGATTTCTCTGTACAGCAGAATTTTGACTGAGGACAAAATTAAATAATTCCAATCTTCACTCTAATAGGATACTATAATTTAATAGGATGTCATAATGACTGTTCCTGTAAGAATCAAAAACCTTTTTTTTTTTTTTTTTTTTTTTTGCCTCTGACACAGCTGTTTGTCTTGAAATCGGTCTGTGTCTACTCACAGCCTGGGTCTCCTTCAGTTTTGTTTCTCTGTTAAATGAAGAGTTGAAACTTCTACCTACTCTCTTACCTGAAACAAAAAATCCTTCTCATTTGTCACATGAAAAAAAAAACTGGAAGGGAAGTGATAGTCTTGAATTCTCCAGTATAATGAGACAATTCAAAGGAAAAGACAACACTTTGCCATGAGATATTTTTGGTAAAAATGCTTCTTGAAATTGTTTCCCATTGTGTGATAGAAACCACATTGCTGTGATCCACAAGGCAAAGGAAAGGCTTTTCAGGGAGAAGACAGTCATTGTGAATTTTCTGTAATAGAACCAGACTATAGCAGGCATGGCATTTGAAAGAGCTCCGGTGAATCCAAGAAGAGGAGGCAGTCACTTGAGTGGTTTCTTTTTCATGATAACTCCACCTGGACCCCCATGTCTAGCACTACTTCCTAAAAAAAGTCTGGCTTCCTGCATGTGATAAGGCCTTTGGAAACTATCTGCTATAGACCATAGAAAACATAATATATTAATTATTCCTCTCTGCATAATCTAGTCAGTTACCAGAAAAACAAACCTGGTCATTTTTTTGTTACTAAAACTTTTGAAAATTGTGTATGAAAAATTCCTAAACTCTCTCTCTGATCTAAGGTGTTTTTTAAATAATTTCTTTAATAAAGTGAATATAATGAAAAGCTTGAATATGTTCTAATAATTTGGATATCACTGCAAAGGCTGGGCAAATGTGGAAAACTATACTTTCAACTGTTCAGGGATAATAATGAATTAGTAAATATTCTTATTAGGAAAAGGAAGACACCCAGCTGTTTCCCACCTCAGAATGTTTGCTGTTGCTGTTCCCTCTTCCTGAATGTTCTTACTCCTTCCGATAGCTGGTGTTTAGTCATCATCCAGGTCTCAGCTCAAATGTCACCTTCTCACAGAGGTGTTCTTGACCCTCAGTTGAATCCCCCTCCTCAACTTTTCTGCAAGTCACTGTATAACATTTCTTGGTTTTAACTACTTCTTAGCATTTATCATGACCTGAAGTCACTAATTTATGGACTACTTTCCTGGTTTAATCTATCTCCCCAACTTGATTGTGAACTCCAAAGAGGACAGACTTGCTGGTCTTTTTCATTGGATGCTAAGATTAGTGCCTGGATAGATGCAGAAGGAAAATGAGACAGCAAAATTTTCATACTTATTAAAAAAAAAGAACTAAATAGGTAAACCTTTTTGAACAGCCGGAGGGATAGTAAAGCATTCAAAATTCCACTATAATAGAAACACTGCTAGAATGTACTGCCATGGGATATTAGATTCATAACTGTTCATCTAAAGTGTGTGCTTGTTATAAGCTGTTTGTCAATATCACAACTTTGGGAACCCTGAGGTAGGTAGAGCTTATGGGGCTCTTTTCCAGATCCAGAGCCTTGGCATCAAACAGGACATTTCTGCCATACCAGTTGTATCAGGATGTTTTGGCTTCAAGATATTAAAATCCTGACTTCAGCTGAGTCTAAGCGTAAGTGTTATGGAAAGATTGGCTCAGGGTTGGTTGTTTGAGCAGCTCAGAATGCCATCAAGGACTCATTCTCTTCATCTCTGCTCTGCCATCATTCAATATCATCCCATCTGGGTATGACAATGTCTGAGGAAGAAGAGAGAATGCTTCCTTTTCTTTCCTAGACTTGTCCCAGCAGACTTCCTCCAGAATCTCATGGGCTATTTTGGGGTACATACCTATTGTTGAAACAATCACTGGTGAGGGAGTGAGATTATGTAGATCAGTCTTGTCCCTGAATTGGGGGTTATCCCTTTCCCATGAGGTGTGTGGGTTGCTTGGAGGAGTAGCAGGCCTCTGAACAAAACTTGAGGTTCTTTGGGGAGTGGAAAAGGCAGGAAATGCTGTATATTCAATCTATTGTTCTTTTGTTTGGAAGGAGTAGATAATGGTGTTGCTAAAACTTTCCCCGCTAAGTTTAATACTGTTTTATCTGATGGGTTAGTACTTGTTCAAGATTCTAGAGGTTGACCTTGTGCCCTGTTAGTGGGATTGCAAATTGGTGTGTCCACCATGGAAAACAGTATGGAGGTTCCTCAAAACATTAAAAAAGAACTACCTTACTGAGCCAGCAATTCCACTTCCGGTTACTTATCCAAAGAAATCAAAACATTAATTTAGAAAGATATGTGGATCCCTATGTTTATTGCAGCATTAATTACAATAGCCAAGTATGGAAGCAACCTAAGTGCTATAGATGACTAAATAAAGAAGAGGTGGTACCTATATACAATGGAATATTACTTGGCCATAAAAAATTGAATCTTATCATTTGTGACAACATGGATGGGTGTTGAGGGTATTATGCTCAGTGAAATAAGTCAGAGACAAATACTATGTGATTTCACTTATTTGTGAAACCTAAAGAACCAAAGAAATGAACAAACAAAACTGCAACAGAAGTACAGATACAAAGAACAAACTGATGGTTGCCAGACGGGAGGAGGAGTGGGGACTGGGTGAAAAAGTGAAGGGATCAGGAAGTACAAATTGCTGGTTAAAAAACAATCACAGGGATGTGAAGTACAGCATAGTGAATATAGTTAATGATATTGTAATGACTATGTATGGTGCCAGGTAGGTACTTCAAATATTGGGGTGATCACTTTATAAATTATATAGATGTCTGACTACTGTGCTGCACACCTGAAACTAATACAAAATAATATTGAATGTCAATTGCAATTGAAAAAAATGATTCTAGAAATTGATGCAGATTGGAGACCCCTACAGTTACTATCATTTATATTAAGTTCAAGCTTCTGCTCAAGAGCTTGAGGAGAAGCACTCATTTCAGTGTACAGATGCTGCTGCTGACCGAGGGGGAGGAGCAGGAGGAGGCTAGTCTCCTTTTTTTAGCTGTGTTAATCCCATGCCCTGTCCTTAGAGAAGTGCAATCTATTCTGGAGAACCCATCTTATTTCCATGTGTCTTTATTACTTTATCTTAGCCTGCTTTCCCAAAGCCTAAAAACAGTTTGCGGGTAGTTTGGGAACTTGAAGGGCAAGAGAGTGAATTGTCAGAGTGGAGGGAATGGGGCAACAATTCCCCGTTCCTCTATACTATATACTATTTATTCTGATCGAAGTAACTTTTGCCTTTTATATAACTCTCCTGCAGCTTTTTCATGTCCCACAGCAAGGTGAGACTAAGAACAGAATATACAAGACAATGAGGATGATGAAACAGTCAAAACCTCATAGCCTCTATACTGTTATTAATTAATATATAAATGTGGTTGAAATGCAATGTGTCATGCCAGGAAATGTCATGTAGTTTTGGGACTTTGGTGTTTGATGATGTATTCTGAATGCTTTTTCACATCTTAAATATTTTGTGGTAGATCTGAAAAATGAGGAGAGCTATCCTTGTTTTTTTTTGTAATTTGTTACTTGTACCTTGATAGTCATCCATGACTTATTAAACGAACTGCCAACTTGGGATTCATCCCTCTTCTCATTCCATATCTGATTACCGACCTAATTCTGCCCATTTTCCTTATGACAGCCACTAACTCAGTCTTGGCACTTGCCTCCTCACATTGCAGACAAATCCTTTTGTTTTTGAATTATTACCCAATTACTCTGCAAGCGCCTCATGGGTAAAAATTTTTATCTATCTTTGATATCTCCAGATAGAAATTAGACCATATAGAAAAGGGGAGGAAAATCGATGTTTGTTCATTTCTTGTTGACGTTTTATGTTCTGCTTTTGGTTTTAGATTCTGGATTGAAGGGATTTTGTTCCAGAAATATAGTGATCATCCTTGGCTTCTCCTGTGTCTTGGCTGTGATTGCTCTGATCACTGTGGGGCTGACCCAGAACAAACCATTGCCAGAAAATGTTAAGGTAACTCAAATCTGTGTATGTGTGTGGGTTTATGAGGAGACTTGGGCAGAGTGAAAAGGAAGGTTATGGTAAATCAGAGTACGGGAGGAGCTGCGGTTCTGCAAGGCCAGGAGTAAGTCACTATCTATCACATTAGGGAAGTAAAATGGAAACGGACGCTCATTCTGAAAGGGGGAATGGCCTTGAATCAATCAACAATGGGAAGATAACTGTCGTTAGGATTGTGCAGCAAATTAATTAAATAAATAACAGAAACAAAGGCTTTATTCACCACTGCCATATCTGTGTTATACTGTGCCGATAGTCTACTCGCTGGTGCCATCTCTACTTCTTACTCATTGTTTCACTGTGTATATGTCACAACACTGTACTCTTTGTTCTTCTTACTCCGTCATTATCGCTATCACCAAAATAGTCGGAAAGCTCTATATGAAGCACATTGGAAGTCAAAGATTGTGGGGAAGACTTGTTTCTCATCTCCAAAATACCAAAGAACACAGCAAAATCAATTTTTAAAAAACACAGAGAAATGAGTGTCAGAGGTAGGAATTTGAAATGAATTCATGAATGGACAGATTTCTTGTGAAATTTCCACATTTGAAGAGCTAGTTAATGTCATTAAAAATAATTAGGGTCATTAACTCTGCTGCGATTTATTTCTCCTTCCTTTCAAATTCATCAAGGTAAAATTTCAAAGACATGAGTATCTCACAAGTACCTTATAATATAGTCAATATTTTATTTAATCCATTAATTAGAAAGCATGTGGTAAATTTAAATTTATGTTGTAAATATATCATTTTAATCTTTCATTGAAATTATGGTAAATTAATCTATGAGGATATATCCAGAATATACTGATATGCTAATCAGCACATTTGTACATGTGGGCGGTGACATAGTCAGGAGTTAACTTGACTGCAGAGGCCCTGGAATACATGTGCAGAAGTATATTTTCTTGTAGTTGAAGATATTAGACTGTGAACCTGGAAATAAGGATGCATATTCCGGGCCGCTGAAACTTTTACCACCCACCCAAATCACTTGCTGTAGAGCAGAAGCCTGGATGCTACATTGGCATCTGTTTGCCATACAAATTCAACTCAATTGGGACTGTGCACAGCAGCTCCTTTGTCAGCATGGAAGGCTGACACCATCTCATTGGCAATCGCCTCTTGCCTTTTAATGTTGAGTGATGTCGGCTTTCTTGGCAAAACTTCACTCACAGTTGAAGGCTCATGACATCTCAACTCTGTTATTTGTTTACCAGTTCAAAAAGTACATGATTGCTTTCCTGATTTGACCTTTTTACATGTTTATTATTGCATCATTGGCGAGGGGGCAGGGAGGGGGGACTGCCTAGGAGGCAAAATCCATGACAGACTTGAGCTCTGTGTTCCTAATGAATACTTGTCTTGAATGATGTTCTCTCATTCTCAGTGGTCATCTTAAAGTCTGTCGTGATTAATATCGTAGTGTTGGCCTGGCAAAATGGAACAGGATCTCTGGCATTTTTAAATAAAAGGTATGATTATTGAAGAGCAGAAGCTGGCATCTGAAGTGAATCTTTATAGAAATATCACTGGTTTATTTTACTCAAAGATCACCTTATATATGCAAACTAGCCATTTGTTGAGGTTGTACACTGATTTTAATAAGATTCCTGGCATATATTGAGGGCAGAAATATTTTAGGAACTTGTCTTTGGTGATGGCTTTAAGCTATGTATACTGTCTAATTTGTTAGTCATTAACCACATGCAGCTCATTCAATCCAAGTTAAAGTGAAATGAAATAAAAAAAATTGTTGTTCACTTTCACTAGCCACATTTCAAGTGCTCAATAGCCTCATGTGGCTGGTGGCTACTGAACTGGACAGTGCAGACACAGAGATTTCCATTGCTGCACAAAGTTGTATTGGATATTGCTGCTTTAGAACTTACTCTATGATAATATTTTTGAAATCATTCAAAACTAAGTTTGATCAGGAAGTTACATGCTAAAACATGTTTAAAATGTAAAATTAGGACCAATACATGAGACTTTTTTTTTCTTGCATGATTTGGAAATTAATACCAAATATCAGGAGCTACTAAATTGTTTTGAGTAGTTTGTTGGAATAAATGTATTTCCTTCCAAAAAGTATGATTTAAAGATAACATATTTAGATATTTGTACCTGGTAAATTTGTTTTAAAACACATCATCTCTTTATGACCATACCTAATTCAGCATCTCTTTATTCATTCATTCATACATTTATATATCAATAATTATTATTTAAGTATTTATGTCAGGCACTGGGCTACACAATTGGGAAGCCAACATAGCTATGACTGAGTTTATCATCTAGGGAAGGAAACACATTTAATAGATGACAAACTATTAATCACAATTGTGATGAGTGCCACAAAATGAAAGTTTGATGGGCCAGGAAGTTTTCCCTAGGAAAAAAATGGCATTAACAATACTATCTGAAGGGCGATTAAAAGGTAGCTGGGAAAGAGCTGGGTAAAGAGTATTCTAGGCAGAAGGAAAGCAAGTGCAAGAATCTCACAGCAGGAAATAGTTGGAAACCTATCACAAATTGGTTGGCGAGCAAGAGCAAGTCGTACATTGGATAAAGATGGTGAGAGAGGTGGTGTGGGCAGGGCCTTGCAAGTCAGCCTGAGGATTTTAGTGTTAATCCTAAACCAATGGGAAGTCAATGACATGATTTGTGTTTTGAAAAGATCACTCTGGCTGCAATGAATTAGCAGCAGGAGGGATAAGAAAAGATAGAGGACAGTAGGTTAGAGGCTATTTCAGTAGTTTTGAAGGAGGGGAAAGTTTTGAGTTTGATTTTTGAAGAACTGTTTTTGAGGTATTGAATATGAAAGGGGAAATGGCAAAGAAGCAGTTGGATATTCAGATCTGGACGTCAGAGGAGAGACCTGTACTACTCAATAGAAATATCACAAGTCATATTTTAATTTTTCTAGTAGCCACAATTTTAAAAAGTAGAGGAGATTAGCTCAGTTTGTTCATTAGATTCCACATATGAGTGAAATCACGTGGTATTGTCTTTCTCTGACTGGCTTATTTCGTTTAGCATAATATTCTCGAGGTCCATCCATACTGTTGCAAAGGGTAAAATTTTCTTCTTCTTTTAATGGCCGAGTAGTGTTCTGTTGTGTAAATGTCCCATAGTTTATCACATGCTTTCTAACTAATGAATTAAATAAAATATCCACTCCTCCACTGATGGACAATTGGGCTGCCTCCATATCTTGGCGATTGGAAATAACACTACAATGAACATAGGGTGCTTATGTTCTTTCGAATTCGTGTTGTGGTTTCCTTTGGATATATTCCCAGAAGCAGGATAGCTGGGTTGAAAAGCAGATCCATTTTCACAACTAACAAGAGAAATGGGGACAGACTCAGAGATGGAGAGAGGATGACAGCCGGTGGTGGGGGAAGGTTAGGGATACGGAGGGACTGAGCAAAAGGAAAAAGGACTCATGCACATGGACAATAGTGTGGTGACTGCTGGGGGGAGGAGAGTGTATAGGGACTAAATGGCAATGGAAAAAATATACAATGAAGATAAAAGTACAACTTTTAAAAAAGTAGAAGAGGTAAAATTAATTTTAGTAATATATTTTATGTAAGTGAATATATCCAAAATACAGGGGTGGGCAAAAGCAGGTAAGAACTCTGTGCCAAAGTGTGCTTGAGTGTGGCAAATAGATTACAAAAATGTGTAAATAATGAAGGCCAGCAATTTGAGCACTTACGATGTTGTACCTAAGTATACTGTGCCACTGTGACATTCTTTGGAGTTGATAAAGCTACTGTAATAATCATAACCTGCATGTCTTTTTCAATACAAGCAACTGTAAACATATTCTGCCCCACCCCTGTATTATTATTTCAACATTTCATCACAATAAATAATCATTAATGAGATATTTTACATTATTTTTTTCAAACTATCTTAAATTCCAGTGTGATTTTCCACTTACAGCACATCTCAATTCAGACTAGTCACATTTCAAGGGCTCAATCGCCACATGTGGCTTAGTGGCTAGTGGCTACCTTATTTAGTCTAGAGGTCTAGACTAAAGATATATCTCAGACATCATTGATGTATTGTAGCCTTAAGAACTGTTAAGATCATAGGAATGGAGTAAAAAGTGAAAAAAGAAGAGGGCAAGGACCGAGTCCTGAGGGATTCTATCATTTAGAGGGTAAGAGTAAAGGAATTTCTCCTAAACCACAGTGATAACACAGCTTTGCATGGTGATTTGCAGTTTATGAATTATTTCCATGCTCAATTCAATTTCTTCTTCCAAGCAATGTTGTAAAGAATGAAAGATTATCCTCATTTTATACATAACGAAACAAGGATCTTAGAAGTTTTCTGATCCAGAGAGTAAAGTTCTTTCCATTTGTCTTAGTTTTGCTAAACAACACATCTTAGTAATAGGAATTGAATGCAGAATGTTTATATTTGAAAGTAATCTCCAGCAAACAGGGAAGAAGAGAAAGCTACCCAAAAAAGGGTGTTATGAGTGTAACACCACATTGGACGCTTGAGGCTTGATCCCACCAGGACCCTCAGAAGAGCTGCAGAGAAAGCACTTCAGAATCATTTGCCTTGGGGATTTATCCCCTGGTCCTCCTCCTCTGTTGGTTAAGGGTTGCCCCATTGGGTAACTCTCTGGCATTGCTGGGTTGGCACATGTATCAGTGGGGCTCTATGGGTACCACAGAGGACCTACTAGGCAGCATGAGAGAAGATGCTGAGCAGAAATAAAGAGTTGAGAGGTATAGCTGGGGCTGGAGTAAAAAGCTGGCCACAAAGATGTGAAGTGGCCACAACAGGTATCTGAAGCATCATTGCATCTATTGCTTTTGGTAGGGGAGAGAGCATTTGTACAAATAGTTTCAATACAATAGACACATTAACACAGAGATAAATGTACAGTGCTGTAGAAGCCCAGAGGAAGGAGCACCC